CCCAGACCTTGCCTGAATCGCCTAGAGCCGTTTTCCGTTTATGGATTATCCACTCGTAATTTTTTCCGTACCTCAATTAAATGATAGGAGTAAATCGATTGCGGGAGAAAATATCGATAGTCATGAATTTTTTAATTTGATTTGTAGGCCTCACCATGAACTTCGTAATTCTCCTGACGATTTTCGGAATTTGCACAGGTGCTCCACAATTTCTGCACCAGCAGTACAATCCCAGTCCTTACGCGCATGAAGCAGTTCTCGTTAATTCAGCGATGGAAGATGCATTACCCCGAGATCTAAAGAATCATTTCTATGATAATCCGAAAATAGCTGCAGCCCTAGCCCAAGAGTCCTGGCTAGCCAAAAAGGAGATGCAGGTAATTATTTCCACTCGATTCTTCTCCGAGTGATCTATTTCTGAATTCACGATCATTAGGAAAAATGATTAATGGCATTTCACGGTGGTCTCTAGGTGATCAATCGAGAGGCAGACAGGATTCCAAGGCAAAAGATATTCGATGTACTGCAGCAAGCTGGATTCGCCCGTTGAATTTCCACCAATCAATCATTCTCCAATCGATGCACTTTATTTATTGCCATCCAAACTATTGTGTCTACAACATCCACATTTGCCATGTTTTATCGACAGCATAACTCAATGATCTTGATGATCTTAATGATCTTATGTACAAAAATAAACAAATTACTTTTTTTTTTTTGCAGTCCAGTCCTGCAAGGTATGAACGACGCAACTCAATCCCATTGTTTTTTATTTTAAAAAATACATCAATCGTTCGAGGAAATTGAGTCTGTTGTTACCCATGAGTCTTATCTTCTCTCTGAATTTATATATTCAAATCGTTCGGCTGCGTCATGTGGTCTTATGTAACTCTCAGCTATGTTTATCAAAAACTTTCCAAGGCAATGACCTGGTGCAACCCGGAGAGGACTGCAAGTCTCAAATCACTCGTTTCAGTCTGCCAATATCTTCGATTACACTGGAATTATCCTAGAATTTTTATTCTTATATTTATTTTTGTTGCGAAGGGAAAATTAAATAGTGGAAATTGATGTCGTCATGGTCCTGAGTCGTCAGTCCTCGGGGATTGAATTTTATTGCGAATTCGTTGATTGAAAAGGGGAGGACGGACTAGATTGATTTTTATTAATAAAAAGCACTGTATGCTTTGTTCCATTTACTGAAATTTTCAATTGAGTCCCCAAGGGCTGTGGCTACCCCCGATTTATTTTTTCATGATTTCGAAATAAATCCGGCCGAAGTCGATGCGAGTGGGCGCGAATTTACTTTATAAATAAACAAGATAATTCGCTGATTCCATTAATTCTGATTCAGAGCTGTGGACTAAAATGACTGCACGTTTTCTCGAGGCCAGTTTTCAGAAAATATCTTGGAATAGTGCGTGAAAAATGTAGATCCAAAAATATCGATATTTTTCTTCAATTCCGAAACGTCAGACGAGAATTCACTGCACAAATTCTCTACAGAATTGTTTGTTAAGGGGCTCCATGGATTTGGAAGTTTGAAAAAAAAAAACCAAATATTTGTTTATTAATTCCACATGTCTAGCGTATTATCCAAAAATTTTAAATCGATTGGAGGAAAAGTTTTGGAGGAATCCTTTGAAAATTGGCGTTTCCCTCGGAACAGTATTTTTGAAGTCTTGATGAAACCCCTTAATGAATCAATGGAATTGATTTGAAAATAAAAATACACAATCTCCAGCGATCATTTATTTCTAATTCCTGACTTATCGACCAGCAATGATTGAACTGTCTGCAATCACCTCTACAGCTAAAGAAATTCCCTTCCTTCCAGTGATGATGACTGGAAATGATATCATGACTGTCCTAAAAATAGATGGACAGGTCAACGAACAATTCCGTAGCGATAATTATCAAAGGAATATATGAATAAACGAGGAAAATTCTTTTTGTACAATTGATTGAATAATGATGTCATTAATCACACAAAATAAAATAATCTCCTCAGCCCATCATGATGACTAAATTCACCCAAGCCATCCACACGATCCAATTTCGAAATGTCCAACGAATAATCCCCATCTAGTCTCGAATAAAAAAATTACCTCTGATTTATCGTAATCACGACTGCATCCCAATCGGTGTCAGCAATCGCTTCCAATCCTCTTCAGGATGCATGAGGAACTCGCACCCGTGGGGATGCACCATATAAAGCGAATGGCAGGATTGAATCCCTCCAGAATCAACTCGTAAGAGCAATAGGAAAGATTCCGTCTGAAATTAAAAAAAAAAGGAAAATTAAAAGTGAAATTGCCACAGAAAGATCCCGCGAATCGATTCATCAGATGTCCGGGAAAGTTGGAGATATGCTCGTCATCCTAGCAAGTCTGATTGTTGTCGGTGTGTCATCGGAGCCAGTGAGTACTCACATTATTTTCAAGAAATTTTTCCATCTCAGTCACATACGCAATTGCGCTGATTCATGAAGAGTTGTACATTATCTCGAGAACTTTCACGTTTAAATGATTTGCCGGTGACTCCAGACGAGACGAGATCCTGATCTCTCGTTATCTCTAATAATTGAGGTAATGATCGAATTGAAATTTTCGTTGCCACTCGATTAACGATTTCTCAAATGATATTATTGTACGATGCCAGGCTGATTGGAACTTGGGGCACGACGATGCACGCTAATTATCCAATAATGGTTGAATCGATTCAGTGGGTGGAGGTGGCACTGATTAGACTGTATTTTATCAATGAAGGCGACGGTTTTTCCGGGTACGAGGTAGTAATGGTTTAAATGTTGCACAAGATTCTGCACAAGAATTATTTCACTATGAACGAAGAGCGGGATGTGTAATGGCGCAATTCACAAGGGAAATGTGGAACATACGTGAGATTCACTTTCTACCGTACGTGATACACTAGTTTCAGTCCTGCATCGAACATCATCGGTTAATCAATCGATTCATGATATTTCCCCTGACTGTCAATACTTTTCCTGAATTCGTAAATTTATGGCATTCAAAACGGAAATAAAAAATCGGTTATTATCAAATTTTTTTACATTTGGTAAATTTTTCTGAAAGTCATCTCATCTTCGATTCTGGGTTGATAAAAAAGAATTTCATCAATTGATCTTCACCATAAAATTCAACAGTAATTTTTGTATAATAGTATTTTTCACGCCTAGGACGGAAAAAGTGATTCTGACGCATGCGCATTATAATCCTCGTCTCGGATTCGGACTATAAAGTCGCATTCGTCAGATTCCCTTTTCCGTCCTAGGCGTGAAAAATACTATTATCCAAAAATGTACCGCAATATTTTTTCGGTGCGAGATAAGCTTGAATGTTTTTAAAAATTGGTATTAATCGCAGGTGCAGCAAGAATACAGCGATGATAGCATCCGAGAGGAGCGCCAATTGCCGGAGGATTCGTACAACGGACCCGTGGACTTACACGATCAATTACAAAGTTTGACGTACGTCAACACCGAAGAAACTGCTGATGATGGTCCCCCACATAATAGCTGGAGTGCCCTAGTCCCAGGAACTCCAGGTACGGATTACCCTAACCTCAACAAAATCCCAGAGACTTCGTTTTCCTGTGGAGATAAAACACCAGGAGGTTACTACGCCGACATGGAGACCGGTTGCCAGGTACTCCCTCCTGAAAATTCCCTAAGAATTTTCACGAAAAAAAAATAAAATAAGAGTAAAAATACCGGTAATTATTGCAGGTTTTCCACATATGCAACATCGGCGGGTCGAAAAGTTCATTTTTGTGCCCCGAGGGTAGTATTTTTAATCAAAGGCATTTCGTATGCGACTGGTGGTACGGATTTCATTGTGAGGAAGCAGAATCTCTCTACCCCGAGAATAATCCCGAGAGCAACGAGACTAATGATACCGAATCGATTGATTCACCGGTGTCCGAATCGATTGATAATTACGGATCAATAAACTTTCGTAATGATTCCCCCAAGGATCTGACGTTAGCAAGGAGCGGTGAGGGTGGGTCCCTGGAGAGATTGCCAAAGGACAATCAACGTGAACCACTTAGCGATGAACAAAGGAACATGGCACATCATAACGAGAAACTCGATCGAAAGTTGAGAGGGAATTACCGCAATGAGGAGAAATTTCGTCAGTATCGATTGATAAATAGCGAGAATGCAAGGGAGAATTTGGATTTGGGGGATGACAGGGGTGAGGAAGGAAGGATGAGGGATAGAGAATTTTCTGGAAATACCGATGGCCAAGATTTCCAGGACACGACACCGAGAGGTTTCTCTTTCAATCGACCAACTCGGAGGATTTCATATCCGAGATCGAGTCAAATTCCTAGAGCTTCTCCCAATTTCCAGGTGGAGGGAATCCTTTTCAATTCCACTGACGAAGAAATTAGATATGTCCCTGCCTTGTAATCAGGGAGAAGTATTTCTGCATAAATTAATTTGACGTCATGAGTGACGTAGGACATTTTATTAATCTCGTGTAATTGAAGTTAATTATTTTTACGCGGATAGGAATATAATAGAATATGACGACAGTAAAATCTCAGGACAAATATTGTCTCGAGAAAATGACTGAGAAAAGTCAGAACGACTCTAGAGTACTTTATATATTTATAAAAATGGAAATATTAATTTACTGAATTCCTAGAAAATTATAATGTAGATCCCACCAATCCCACGATTTTTCTAATTCTTTCGTTGTAATTAAAATAATTTGAATAATTTAATTCAACGACATGATCTTCAAAATATCGGGTGGACTGATAACTGAGGGATATCAATGACTGCAAATCGATGACTCCTTTGATTCCAAGCATGATGATCACTCATTTCGTAACTGAATATAATTCCATCAACATAATTTACAAGACATCAATTCCTGATTTTCCAGCTCCTCGGTAAATCGATTTCTATTTAAGTCTCGAACGTAATGAATGTGGGAAAATAGCGGGAGATGATGTCTGGGTGATTAATATACACTCACGTCGATGGATTTATCCCGGGTGAAACCAGACGTGATGTGCCGGGTGGATACCTGTCGTCATGGTAAGAGAGTGCTGGATCATTAAAAGGGTATTACGAGAATTACAGATTGAAAATTGCTATTACGTGGGACAATGATGCCTGAACCGTCGAGATTGGAATGACTCGTAAGCGGTGTCAGAGTGATTAAAAATTCATCAACGAAAGAATAACGGATTAATTATAACATGCACACCGTCAATTCATTAGCAAATCAAATTCATTAGCGATTAATTCAGCGAATGATTTTTCATTGATTATCATTGATGAATTTATTTCGGAATTATTCCGGAGAAATTTGATAATTTTAATAAATACTGAGATTGCGATTCGTGAAATCCTGGTGCATTCATGGTGCCGTCTAATAATTCTCGTTTGAATAAACCAAGGGGATTGTGCCTGAGGATACATAAATTTCGTAAATAAACTCTTGAATGGAGAGGCTTTTTGTCTGGATGAATTACTCAGCTTAAGCCTCTTTACGTCTCTTTATTCTGGCTCTCCGGTTATCTGGCGAATCGGCTTATCTGATTGGCAAATTTCTACTTGCAGCAATGCCTTTAAACAATCAGAATCACTGATTAACTATCGAAATAGCACACCCCAAAATATCCATCTGAAGACATAATTATAATAATAAAAAAATTGTTATCTCATAATATTGAAATAAAAAAAAACGGCAGCTGAAAAAACGTTAGCAGAAAAAATAGAAAAACAGTAAATTTTTATATTTGACAATAAATATTGTATAATCCATTACACTATTTGCATTAAACTCCGCGTGTGGAGACTCGAGAGATGAGTAGCTGCAGCTGAAAATTGATTTATAGATTATACGTGATCTTATCCCCTCGTCTCATCTAACTTCTAGGACGTGTTGTAACGTATAATTGGATAGTTATGAACAAAGCTGAGACTTGATGCATTGAGGTGATGATTATAAATCTGTGGAATAACACAAGGATGAAACAATAAATATTTCAACGTTTATTCGCAGGATGTGAATTATCTGCGTTGATCTGTCCACCGAGTTAGGAATGACTTCTGAGACAATTCAGTAAAAGTTCATCGGATGGAATTTATGATGGAATAAAAATGAAAATTGGTGGGTCTCCGTGGAAAATTTTATCTCCATTCCATCCAGATAATGCCCATCGTCCCGGCAATGGGTCTCGTTTACGGAGACGCGATTCTCGGTGAAGAGAGCAATTCATGCGTGACAACTTCTTCACTGAGACACTTGACATCCACTCAGCTGCACAGTACTGGACCCCTGGAGATGGAAAAAATGAGAGAGAAAAAAAAATGACTCCTGGAGGATAAAACCTGGGAATATCATCACCAAATCATGAACCGAGTGATGCGATAGATTTTTTTCTGTTATAATATTTAACAGAATTTTTTTTTACCCATTTTATTTATTGTATTCTCCTCGGGCTTTGTTGTCATCAGAGGCTGATAACGCTACGCAATTTTTCCTAGAGATATCTCTATTTTCAAGGTTGACTTTCAGCTGTGTTGATAATTCACGGAAAAATTGTGAGATAGTGCATTTGTCGGGGAACTGTGCAGTAATGTGAAACGCTGGAACATTCACGTTTACAATTGCATGCATTAGCTAAGCGGTGGAAACTGTCGGGTGTATGATGATTGAGTGTATTCAGAATTAGCGAAATGTTAGTTTCAAACAAATTCACTCTGTTTGAAGGTCGTGTTTCATGATATGCATGTCGCGTGGAAATTGAAATGGCACTCGGTTAATTTTGTCGTTCTAAACACGCGATTTATGGGCAGCAGGTTCAAATGGTCAAACGTTATGAATTTCGATGACCAATTTCACGATTGTATCGATATATCCGTCATTTTCGGAATATCAAATTATCGCAATTCCCCCATTATTCAAATTTATTCCTCTCACACGCCTCGAATTAATTTCGTTTAGCAATTAAATAAGAAAATTCATCACGTTTTCTACAAATGCAAATGAGCTGTATGTTTTCCTTGACTCATCGTCAAGTTTTCCTTGCATTCATTGCGAGTCATGACTGCGGTCATTGCCTCGTGATGACTTCACACTCGAATCAGCGACAATCGTAAAAAATAATCCGGTGGTGATTATTATCTCCATTGATGTTTTTTCAATAAAATTTTTTAGCGATAATAAGCGACTACTCGCGGATGACTTTTCAAAATGGTATTTCCTTTGAAAGACGTGCATAATCTTCCACTTGTCCTTGAAAATAGCTTCCTACACGTGCCCCTCCCACCCTATTCCAGTAATAATCATTGGCTTCAAACCTATTCACCCAATGCTGCACTCCAGGAAGACGGAAAATAGCGACTAGACCAATCGTAATTGTCGCTGGTTTTTCCGCGGGTGTTCTTCATCCACTGCATTCAAGCCCCCGTCAAATTGCCCAGCATAATAACGCAATCGCATAGTTTTATCAGAATAGTTCGTCGCTGGCCTAGGCCTAGTACACTGCAGAAAATGGAGCGGCGAAGTGTGTCAGGTATACGAGTGAAGAATTTAAGAATTAACAATCAGAAAATTAAACTTCATTCGCACGCAGCGAGAAGAAAATATATTTCAGGCGAGAATTGATAGTTCAGAGAGAAGAAAATAGTCTTTGAAAGGTATTCCTCCAGGGAAATAATAAAAATTACATTATGTTCAACTATTCAATAATTAGGGATCCGGGAACCCGTGACCTTGACGAAACACCCCCCGATATTTTCCGGATTTTCCAAATTCAAGATTTTTGGAAATTAAATCATTTGATTTTAATTAACGCCTGATCCGGAGGAATACCTTCCAAAACGGAGATTTTCTTCTCGAATATCAAAATGAAATAACAATATCAAGAAGATATCCAAAATATAATATTCTTGGCAAAAATATATTTTTCTCAAGTGCATTCCTGCACTGCATCATTGCTCTCACGTCTCGAAGTGTTTCATAATTCAATTCGCCTCCAGTCACCGAAGATTCATTTTCCCTGAATTACAGAATCCCTCAACTCAAGAAAAATAAAAACCTCCTCGTACCTTAAAAAATGGGAGATTATCTCAATGAATTTACACTTCAACGTGGAATGAATAAATTCCACCCGTGGAATATGACACCAACGCAGTGAATCCGCTATCAGTTATTAATAAACATCGATAATAGAATGTAACCCCCCATTTTTGCCCTCACAAAAGCATCATCAAGATGAACCATTGGAGATGTCATCTGGAACTGGGTCATTACCACTAACGATTTGACGTTACAATCATGAATTTAATAAGTACAGTGTGGTGATGCGTGGGCAATATGACGCATTGGCGTCTAACACTGAGTTTATTCACTCTACTATTATTGCGAGACATTCATTTCCGAGTGCAAGGTCTGCCACACACTTGTTCACAATCGTAGGTGTGTCACTGGGTATTGGGGCCATTGCCAATGCAAGCTGCTATTCCTGTTCAGTGGTTAACTCCAAACTTTACCGATAAGTGCTAAGTATCATGATGCATTAATCATCATCACCGAAAGTGTAACAAATCATTTTGATCAAGCTAAACGATCCATCGATCTGACAAGAATAAACTTGCTATGTCCTATGTAATTTCTAGACCTGCAACAGCATTTTCAGAAGATCCTTCGAGACGCTGAGGGCGATAAAGAATTGGTGATAACCCACGCGGAAGAAACGGAAGGTAGTAAACTCGGTGATAACTACATGTCCATTGTTCTGAGGACGAAAGTTACTGGAAGAAGGGGAAATGGTGAAGGTTTGTACTGAAGCTTTGTGCTGAAGCTTTGTGCTTTTGTTGATAATTATCCATAATTATCCATTCGGTTATTGCGTTGTTAGTTTACAGCGGATCCTTCATGACGAAACATTATCCGCGTCATCGGGCAATAGCACAAGTAATGAGAAATGCTGATTTGTTCATTAATGAGGCTTACGTCTACAATCAGATATTACCACAACTTGGTGATATTGCGCCCAGATGTGTATTTGCTGATGAAAATGAGATCGTATTAGCTGATCTGAAGGACGAGGGCTACATGGTGATGCCGAGGCTGGAGCTTTTGGATTTAGAGCATTGCAAAGCAGTTGTCCAGGTATTAAATTTTCTAATTCCCTCAAGGTGTCCGTACATAATCAAAGGTTTATCGTAGTGTCTGGCTAAAATGCATGCCCGATCGTACGCCCTGAAGCGGAAGGACCCGAAGAAATTCGAGGAGTTGATGTCCTCCACGATAGAAGCGGTCTTTCCTCAGGATGACGCACCCTGTATGGGATCGTCGATGGATGTGAGCATCAATACTGCCATAAATCATCTGGAATCATTAGAGGACACCAGCGATGAGCTCAGATCGGCTATAGAATTCGTCAGGAGTCTGATTGGAAAATCGGTAGAGATCATGAAGACGTTGGTTCTACCTGGTCAAGGAAAATACGACGTCCTGAGCCATGGGGATGCCTGGAACAACAACATCCTTTTTAAGCATGATGCTGGTGGTCACGTAGTTGATGTCAAATTGATTGATTATCAGATTCCACGACACGTCTCCGCAGCTATTGACTTTCATTATCTCATGTACTCCAGTGCGAAGGCAGCTGTTATCGACGAGAACTACGACGAGATTATCAGATCGTATCATTCAGCGTTGGTTCATCATTTGGGGAAATGCAATGTTCCGGAAGGGGATGTTAAAGGAATGTCAATCGATTGGTTTAGAGATGAACTCCAGAAACACCACATGTACGGATTATTGACGACTTTTTGGCTTGTCAATGCTGTTCTAGCTGAAGAGAACGAGACAGTAAATCTTGATGATTTCAGTGCTGATTTTCTGGAAGAAATCGAAAAATTCACACC